CGAGTATTAAGCCATCTTAATCTCGTTATCATGTAGGTACAGTTATTCTCTAATTGTGTCATTTTTTTTCTTGGTAAAAATGATGATTTGGCTATTCTATTAATTGATGAAAAGTCCATTATACAATAACAAAAAATCAATCAATAATTAATACTACTAGGATATATAGTTAGAGAGCTACTAGTATACAAGAAACTTACTTTTAAGAGAAAATCTAGAAGTCTTATAGGAGAACTAGGAAGAGAGACTACTGCTGTTGCTTCAACCTACTGCTGAATAACTGCGACGGACTGAGGTGTGTTCTCCGTTTTGTACCATGCGTCCCCTCTCGGAGAACTCGAGCCGCCGTAATTTCCCTCTCTTTTCGCCTTATCCCCACTTGAGTAATTTCTCATATGATTCCATTGCCCATACTCCTCAGACTTCAGTCGCCATGTTTGCCGTTGTCCCCCACTCTACCGTTGTCCCCACTCTCTCACTATTCTATCCTTAGTCTTTTCCTAACTGAGCCTTCTTCCTCCCCACTATTACTACTCTGTTCTGAGCGACTTCTGTCGGAGGTTGGAAGAAGCTTACAACTTTCTTTCATACTACTCTGTTCTGAGAGACTTCTGTCCGAAGTTAGAGGAAGCTTACAACTTTCTTGAGGATTTTCTTCCATTTCTATGATCTTTCTTTTCCTGCGTTCTTCCGCACTCTTGATTTTAAGCTTTGACGTTTCAATAGTTTTGTAATGACCCCATGGAAGTGTATCAGGATTTTTATCGAATATACATCGTTTATCATCATATGGACTTAGTGCTACTTTCTGCACTCTTTCTGTTCTTACTTGATGTAATACACTTCCTATATTACATTGCTCACGCCTAATAATTTCTAAATCCAATAAACAGTTTCGAAAATCTTCATGATCTATTGTTTTTATGACAGTATGTGTTTTTACGCCTTTTGCTTTCTTTATTGCTTGATGGTTTTCTATTAGTATACTATACATTTTACTTCGAAGTCCAATGAATTCTCTCATAATATTACCATTGCATTCATCTTTCATAATACCGAGAACCTTTTTATTAACTAACGGCATATTAAACTGATTATTTTCTGAGTAATCTGATGTATCAAGTTTATTGATATCTTCTTTCATTATTTCATATATATCAACATCTTTAAATTCATATACGAGGCTATCTGTATCAGTATAAAGTAATTTTGCTTTATGAGGTAGTCTTTCTTTTATGTAGCCTTTAACAATTTTTGTACACTTTAACATAGCATCCCATATTAATCCAGGAGTAGTATAATAGTGTGCCGGGTCGAGTTGATACGCGTCCATACACGTTTTACGAAAATTTTCAAAAATATCGGCCAAGAGTAATACGTCAGTTTTTAAATATAAATCAGAATACTGTCCTAAATCAATGATGTCAAATGCATTCCACACTTTTTGAGCATGCTCATAGTCAGCTTCAGAGATGTTGCTATCTATCAATTGACTATGAAAATCTTCGATAGGTGGTAATTGAGTCTGTTTTAATCTTTCAAAACTGTTAACATACTCATATGGAAAAACGCCTTTTCTCTTCAATAATTCTATTTGTGTTTTTGTATATTTATCTATCTTGAATTCATGCTCTACGATATTTAGTTTGGTTAAGTATAAAGACAGTTTTTCGAGAGATGATGGCATAAAACGAAACGAATCAATAAATCGAAAATTTATAGTACTACCGTCCACATGTTTTGTGAAAGCTATATATCTTTCCTTGTTTTCAGCTAAAACAGTCACATTTCCCTCAAGATCAGAGCAAGTAGCTATTTCTTTTATTATAAAATGAGAATCATATCCAGTAAGGTTATGGAAGACAACTGGTATAAAATAAGGATTCTTATAATTTAAATTACAGGATGCGTGAGCAGCACCTCTAAATCGACCCGTCAAATGACAATGATCTCTGACTCTTGTTTCATCAGGTTGAAAATATTTTCTACAAATATGACACATTTGCTCATCTTGAAATCCATTTGATTACGCCATGAAAGATTCATTTCTATTGCATTCTTATATATTTGATTCATTTCATCTAACAAAATCTGAAATTGTTTGATAATCCATTGTGCGGGTGATTGTTCTTCATTCAGTTTTTTTCTATACATCTTAAAGACTGATTTGGAATCATCATAACTACATTTTATATAAAGCCCCACACTAAAGGCTTCATGGTCTTGGAAGGATCGTCCGTTATTTACTGGTTTCAATAAGCACTCTAAATCAGCATAGATAATAAACGGAACCATTTCTTTTCGATCATAATGATTAAATTACAGAAGAGGAAAATTAGGTAGATTAACTCTATATTTATTTAATTTTGAACAATCAGTCTCATGAATATTCAATTTTTCTTTATTATTAAAATAGTGGAGACAGCGTTCACAGAGATAAATTTGTGCAGTATGTTTCGTTACTTGACTTCTAACAAGAGCAGATAAGTTTTTAATCCATACATAGTGGAATTTTAATTTGAAATTATCACTGTTATTTGATCTATTAGATTTTTCTGTTTCATTCTCATCAATATAATCGCTTTGTAGTAACAAAAGATTTACATGCTTATCTTGTTTTAAAGTTGATATATAATATGGTGAGACTTCGAATTTCAAACCGTATTTTTTTAGTATGTATAGATTTATTGAAATACTATTTAATTTTTCAAATTTAGGAATATTCTTTACCTCAACAGGAAAGTTTATATCATCGAATTTCAATTCATTCGCAAAGGGCATATAATTTTGAACTCTTTCGCTATGAAATCTAGCTGGATGAAGACAGGCAAGCACAGCCCATTTAAAACATTCATTATCTGTATTTTGAACGTTGATAATTGCTTTTTTATCTGCTATTTGTTTTGGTAGTTGAATATATGAGCCAGGTTTGAAAGGATTAAATTTATTTATATTAACAGTAATACCGATGATAGTTTTTAATGTCCAACCGGACTCTTTTTCTTGAAATTCTTCTAAATTTTTAAGTATAACATCTTCAATATTTTCTGTAAACCATAATTTAAGATCTGTCGTTTTATAAATAGAAACATTTTCGGTGTTGAAATACTTTACTTGAATGTCCTCTACATTATCTTTTATTACGGTAAATTGGGCTGACATTTCTATATTTATTTTTAGAGCATTATGAATTGAAAGATATTTTGGTATTTGTAGTTGTAATAATTTATTTGCTGCTTTTAAGAATGACTTTATATCTCTATGTTCTTGATTGGCTATGAATGCAGTAATGATACGTTTTTCAAATGCTGAATTTATTTCACGCCAAATAACTCCATCCCCTTCAATTTGGTTTGGAATGACTCGTAATGAATTAACCTTTCCTCCGACTTTTATGGAATTATTTAAATTAATTTCGATTGAATTTAAATGAGTAGCGCATGTTTGACATCTCTGTCGTATTGCTCTACTTAAGTTAGGCCGTAACATATATTCTTCAAGAGAATGAAAAGCGGTAATTATTATATTTTTCCATCTAATAAAATCATCCTTATTAGCGTCTGAGTTGTAATAGGCTTTCCATAAATCGCGTACTGTATTTTCAAAATAAGCAATAGAAGCCATTGTAATGAAAATGCACGTAGGTCAACTAGTAATACTACTACTACTACTAGTACTACTACTACTACTACTACTACTACTACTACTACTGCTTGTCACTGCTAAGAAAGCTAGTGAAGCGGGCTGTCTTGAAAGACCGCGCTCTTTTCCCATCGAGCACGGCTTTTAAGCACTATGATGGCGCTGAAAGCAGCGGTTTCGGCGCTGTAGGTTGAAGAGGGAGTAGTCAGACAAAAGGTAGGAGGTGGGTGGGTGAGTGGTGGCTGCGCCTAGCAAGCTAGAGGCGCTACCCCCTCTCCGAGGGCCCACACTCAGCTAGTATAAGCTTACTAAGCGCCCTACTATCGAAGGAGAGCGAGAGAGAGAGAGAGAGAGAGAGAACGGCATCCACACTATACGACGTACGCGTCTAGCAAGCTAGAGACGCTACCCCCTCTCCGAGGGCCCACACTCAGCCAGCATAAGCGCCCTACTATCGAAGGAGAGTGAGAGAGAGGGATAGAGAGAGAGAGAGAGAGAACAGCATCCTCACTATACGGCGTACGCGCCTAGCAAGCTAGAGACGCTACCCCCTCTCCGAGGGTCCTTCACTCAGCCAGCATAAGCATATAGTTTACCAAACACCCTACCGACTTCTACAGCATCCTACCTTAACAACCTCTGTGGGTGGGTGAAGCGTCCTACTATCGAGGGGGGGGGGGGGGGGGGGACTGGCCCCCTCGAAGGGCCCACTGGCACGCGGGAGATGTCAAACGAACATCAAATGCAACACTCGGCATGGGATCTCACCTTATCGCGATTAAAAGGTGTCACTACCTTCACACCTTCATCGGGCGGCTCCTTTCTGTCCCAGAACATACACGTATCCTTATACATTGGCGGTGCGCGCGAGGTGTCAAACCAACATCAAATGCCCCTTAACACTCAGCATGGGGCCCACTGGCACGCGGAAGGTGTCAAAGGTACATCAAATCCCTTTTAGGCACTCACCATGGGGTCTGACCATTAATTAAAAGGTGTCACTACCTTCACACCTTCATCGGACGGCTCCTTTGTGTCCCAGAACATACACGTATCCTTATACATTGGCGGCATCCTTTGTCGGCTCCTTTGTGTCCCAGAACATACATTGCTTATCTACTTTGATGTGCTGAATTATGAACTCATATAATCCAGAAAAAGACAAAAGTAAAATTTTATCATGATCTAAAAACTGAGAAAAAATCCGAAGCATTAGTGAATACAATTGAATTCCTTAAGCTCGCTAATGCTGAAGAAGAGATATATGAGTAGTATTTGTAGTTTTGACATTTATTCTTTTTCTATTCTTTGTATCATGGTATCAAAATAAAATTGTTTTTGTCTTTTTACAGTAATTAAAGCACATATAAAAACTGTTCCTGCTGCTGCTTTTAATAAATCTGGAACGATGAATTTCGACTCAGGTCCTGTAACAGAAGGTGTTCATAAAATTGATCTGCAAATTTCTTCGTTCGTAGATACTGATGCTAACAACTTTACAAAGGGCATTTGTTTTTTTCATTAGATGCCATTTGAGTAACATAGGTATGCTTCAACTTATACATAAATATGTATATTGTATTACTATTAACTTCATGCTTATACTAATTATCTATACCTAAATGGCATAATTATGTTCAGGATTATTTACAGGATTGCATCTAAAAATGATTTCATATTTGAAAGTGATCGTGCATAATACTATTGATCAAATTATTTTCAATTACATTTTAGACATGATCTTATGCATAATTCTATGCATAATCGACACAATATTTTACGTCTAAAAATCTCCTTCTACATAATGAAAATCTTGAAATATTATTGATAATGTATACTGAGATATAACAGCCTTCTTAAAATTTTCAATTTTATACATAGTCCTAGATATAATTTTTCAACGTGGGTAATTGTTATATATATTAGTTGATTATTTTGTTCAATTTAACGTAAGAAATAAATTTACTTTTGTATTTTTAGGTTCGAAAGTAGTTATTGTTTGTCAACATGTCTCTTTTATCCAAAAGTTTGGACATAGAGGATCCTTTGACAATAAAAGTGGTTATGAAGGAAAACAAACCTTTGTTGAAACGCACTGCTACAGAGCAGGAAAATGAAGATCCAACAAAGAAAAAGAAATCTCACGATGACGGAGCAACCGGACAGTTGGTTGGAGGAAACACTACACAAGCATGGAAACCGCTGTGTAAAAAATACTTTACGAACATATTTGCCCTTCATAGTTTATTTCAATCATTTTTTATTTTTTAAATAATGTATCCACTTTCATATTTCTCTTATTTGAAAAACGCTTCTCACTTAAATTGTTTTGCTACAATTTTCTTAATGAATGCTATTTTTTCGAAATTGTTAAATGAAAGCCTGTTATTTATTGAAGTTTAAGTTTAAGGTTAAAGCTGATAGGTAAAAGTTTTAGACTTTTTCAAAGGTAGTGAACGAATAGATTATAAACTAATTTAATTAGTTTATGTAGTAGTATATAATGATTATGTTACGTTAATTATATATAGATTCAATAATTTAATGTAAAACTAAACCAGATAGCCTTCGAGTAATTTATATGAAAATATGACTGATATATTTAAAAGATATATTGTCTATTTATTTGAGTATTTATTATGTGCTTAAATATTTGAAAGTAACATTTGATATTATATTTAAAAAAAACAATATAGTATTTTTCTACGTGAGACTCATTATGTGTACATAATATTACTTTGCAGTATTCATAAATATTTCTATATTGATTGTGGAAATATTTTTTATTTAACGTCGTTGTGATCTCCCGTAAGGGATTCTAATTAACGGATGTTCGCATTTGATGTTAAGGTACATTTGAAATATATTATTTAAAACTGCGCGGATATGTACAAATAGCGGTCTTCAGATCTTACTTAAATTAAAATATCACATAATGTGATTATTGATTTATGGTTTAAAATAATATATAGCCTTTAAAAAATACCTTATGAAAAAATAATAAAGTGCTTTCGTCATCTTCATTGTAATATTGTCAACATAAATTATTCATCATGTCTTATCCTCTTATTCCCATCTCAAATTTTGTTGCATACTCAATTTTTTTTAAATGGAACAAACATAATAAAATAATAGGAGAGGTTAGATTTTACTTGAGGGGAGTGTGGACGTGTCTTGGATGTGAGCGCGAGTTTTGGTGAGAAAGTCAAAGAGGAAAAGTGTTTGAGGAGAGAAATAGAGGTGAAAAGAGCGTGGAGGTGGAGGAGGAGTGGAGAAGAGAGAGAGAGAGGCCTGGAGAAGAGCAGGAAAAAGCAGAGAGAAAGGAATAAAGAAAAAAAGTAAAAGTTGAGGTTAAGAGAGAAAATTAGAAAGCGGGAAAAGCAGGCAGAGAGGAGGGGCGGTAAGAAGTAAAGGCAGAGACAGAAAAGGTAAGACAAGGAATAGAGGTGGGATCACGGGTAGTTATAGAGAGTCGAATTAAGGCGTACGGGATAGGATGGAAAGATTTGTGACAACAGAAAAATTAAGAGATAAAGGTGGAAGTGACTTCCACGTATGCGTTAGATATTGCAAAGAAAGTATTGCAAGATATTATGTAAAATAATTTATCATTTAGGGGAAAAGTTATGATTCTAGATGGGGACTTCAAACAATTATTGCCAATTAAAGTGAGAGGAACAAGAAATATAACATTGAATCTTTCTATAAAATATAGCCTATTATGGAAACATTTCACTAAATATATATTAACGACTAATATAAGAGTGCTACCAAATGAAATGGAATTTTCTAATTTTTTGTTGAATTTTGGAAATTGTTCACTAAATGATAAAGATGATTACATACATGTTCCTGATCATTGTATATTCCTAGAATTCGAGACAAAAAATTTGATGAAATGAGTGATTATGCAATTTTATCTGCTCGAAATGAAGACGTAGATAACATTAATAGACAAATAACGAATTTATTAAATAACAGATCAATGTTTATTTACTGCTGTTGATTCTGTCATAAACAATAATAATGGTGAATTCGATGTTGTTGTTATGCCTGAACATTTAAATGCTTCCAACCGACTATGTTTACCCCCTTAAGTTACATTTAAGAAAAATTGTATCGTAATGAAGGCCTATGAAATGGTACAAGGTTGCAAGTAATAGATTTATCAAATCATTTATTAAAATGCAAAATTTTAACAGGTAATAAAAAGGGACAAGTAGTTTTCTTGGACCGAATTACTTTATACTATGAAAACGAATATCCATTTGCTTTTAAAAGAAGACAGTTTCCAGTTAAATTAGCATTTACTATGACTATTAATAAAGTTTAAGGGTAAATTTTAAACCAGTTGTAGACTGATTTACGAAAAGATGTTTTTAGTCATGGGCAATTGTATGTAGCCTTCTCTCGTGTTAGATCATGGAATTCTATAAAAATCTATTTTGGATAGCAAATGCATTCAAATAGAATACAAAATTATGTTTACAAAGAATTATTTAAAGATTGATTGCGTTAGTAAAAATAAATATTTTCAATTATTTTGTTTATATGGCGTTAATATGGCGTTAATCATTTGTAATTTATTCTATGATTTCATGAATACTTGACTTCTAGTATTATATAATTAACTTGTATTCATTTCTTATACTTTTTGGAACAAAGAATTTTAAACTGTCATTAGAAATTTAGAACCTTTTTTCGGTGAAATGTAATGCAAGTTCAAGCCGCTGACGAAAATCGAATACTTGAAACTTATGCATGTAAATGTGAGTGGTAATTGAAGAAATCATTCAAAAATATATCTACAGTGTAGTAGGAGTACTATAAAATTTTTATTTAACATTATCATATCGCTTTCAAAATAGAATATCAATTTTTTTTCCATAAGAAAAAAACATAACATTACATTCAATCATTGAATTGAACACAAGGAATAAGTAAAGTAAGCACATACACATACACACACACAGACATGCACATACAGTGTGAATCATTTTAATCTATGGACCTGAATATCTTCCAAACTACAGTATCTACAAAAAATGGTTCAGAAAAAATTTAACCAGAACTTCATGTAATTGTACCATTAGTTTGACCTTGAGGTCAATTTCGTAAGTTATTTTAAGGTTACAATAGTTGTTTTAAATATAATACGCTACTTTTTATGCAAATTTCGAAAGAGCGCAAAATTTTACATAAACCTTCTTATAAAAAAATTGTTTTTGCGACCTTGGAATGATTAAAAAAGAGGATCAAATGCCAGAAAAAGGATTTTATGTAGTTTTCTCGAAATTACGTGGTTTTTTAAATAACAAAAATGTGTATAATACTAGAAAAAAGTCAATGAATTGTAAAAATGCAAATCACTTTGATTAGCTTAACCTTCAGGTCAATTTTAAAGGTTGTCTGAAGGTCATATTAAGATCACAAGTACTTTCATGTTACTTTGAGTGTTATCCAAAAACAGCGACGTGAACGTAGAACGTTCTATTACCTTTGTGGTGCTTATTTAACATGAGTCACCTTACCTCTCACCGACACTTTATTTTAAATGAATTTTCGACGGAGTAATTGTTCAAAATAAAAAAGGAAAAGTTCAAATATTTTATCCTCCCCCCCTTTATCCTCATTAAATTTAACTTAATTATAACTTTATAAATTCCAAGGCGTGTAAAACCTTCTACTTTAAATCAATCAAGTCAAATTCATTGCGATAAAATCTACAATGTTAAGGTCAACAACATAAACTACAATTAAAAATTCGTTAAGTCTAACCATGAAACTCGTAAACGTAATTCCACCATCTGAAAATCAATTAGTTCTATGAATTTTTGTTCGATTATTTAGTGTTTACTAAAAGTTCGTTCATCCTACTTTACTTGATATTATAATTTTTACAGATAATTTTTTCATCATCATTATCACCAGGGTGATAAAAATTGATGTAAATTTGTTGTCAATAACTTTTTTTTAAATACATATTATTTAAATATACGTACTGGATATTTCACATTTATTATCAAAAGAGATTTAATGAAAATCTTGAAATTACAGCATAAAAAATATTAATTTGAATACGTAAGTATTTATTCTTAAAATGTTTCAAATATATCTCCATAAACATGTTGCATGTTATAAATGTTAATGAAGTTTATTATCATTTGCAATGGTAGTCGATTTAATTAATCGAACCGTTCGCGATTCTGCTTCTCGCGCGTTAGTTCTAACAGCTAAGAGAGAGAGAGAGGGGGCGCGCGATCTTTTGAATAAGCAGTTACGCCTCAGCTGTGAACGTGAATTTACCGCCGATTTGTATTGCACTTTGTTTTCACCAAATAATTAGTTTTTTGGAACAATTTCGTGTGTGAGTGCAACGGTATTTTCGAGATAACCAGTAGCAGCGCAGAAGCAGCAGCTTTGTAGCTAATTTGAGGCAGATCGAGGCAGCGCAGCTGATAATAGAGAGGCAGCGGCAATTGAAATTTTTGCAACAACAATTACGGCTGATCACCGTGATTGCACCGCATGGTAGGTGCACCTTCCGTCATATTAAGCGAAACAAAATACATTCGGTATTTTGTCTATTCGTGATAGCGTTATATTTTTTGTATTCGCGTCGAGAGTTAGTTCGCGGTAGAATTCAAATCTACTCTCTCTCTCTTTCTCACCGAACATATATAAATTATAAAATCCTATTTTCGTGCGTCAGTTTTTCGGCCCAACGAAGACTGTACTGATTTTTTATTAATTAAAGTCTGTTAAATTTATTCGCCGTTTTCGTCATTTGATTTTCCTGGTAGCTTAAGTATTTGAAACAGGCTTAGGTTTTAATCCAATTACATCTAGGGGATTAAGAAGATTAGGAGTAAAGTCGCTCATACTTAAAACTCATTAAGTGTAACAAGACACGTGACTTAAGGTAAGTTCAACTCCGATCGATAGAAGACAACTAGGATAAATCATCTGACGTTAAGGCGAATACACGTATTATTATACGTGTTTAACGGAGCGGCGGTTTGCTCTGTATCGTGGGAGTTTGTTCTTAAATAAGTTTCCCATTTTCAGATTTATCTCCCCCGTTACATGGCGCCCAACTGGTATTAAGACCCGTTTCGTGCGAATAGGATTGTGCGTCGAAGGTAATCGACGCACGAGAGAGAGAGAGAGAGAGAGAGAGAGAGAGAGAGAGAGAGAGAGAGAGAGACGATTGCGCGAGCGCTTAGGAAGGTTTGAGCGGGTGGTAGCGCGAGGTCGTGAGCGGTACGCCCTCTGCCGGGGAAAAAACGAAACCACTTCGAACCTTTTGATTAAAATTGTTAAGTTGATTGTAAAAAGGGCCGAAAGCGATAATTATAAGTAGGTCGAAGTGATTTCAGGTCGTTCGGAGTAATCAGGTGTTAACCTATTTTAGACATAGTTTGGTGGATAAAGGGGAGTTGGAAGCACCTGATCGACGATAAAAACAGAGAGCGCGACCCAAGCGCGCAGTCTAAAAATATTAGCCAGGCAGAGCAAGCAAACAGCAGGCTCCGGCCTTAGGTAGGATATATTTATAATATTTATAGATAGTTTGCGGAGATTGCGCGCGCTCATAATCTCGCGAGTTTGTGCCTTATAAAAAGGAGGCATTAAGGGTAGTTACACTAAATAGTGTATACCCCGCTCATACCTTGGGTGATAGGAAGCGTAGTGGTCGATTAGGCCGATAATTTCAAACCTCGACCGCATCCTACACCCGTGCGGAGGCAAGATGGCTCTGTTGTCAGCTCAGATCGACAATTGGGCATTAGAGCTGACCTCTGCACAGCGCGAACGCTACTTGGCGGATTTAGAGCTGCGCAAGGATGGAAGTGTCATCCAGCAGGCGGCTAA